TTCCTGCAGTGGGGATCTAGATCAGAAAAAGGAGGAAGAGCTTTTGACATAGAAGCAGTAATGGTTGGTTTGCAAGTTTAGCATGAAGTCTGGATTTTCTGCTGGTGTAGATGGAGGCCAGGCTGCTGTTCCAGGCAGGATCTTAGGGATGGGGTTCAGTAGATGCTCCCCATTTTTTTTCTTCACAGGCAAAGGTAGATGTTGTCCAATGCTCCCAGTTTGCTCTTCAGGAGGTGCATGGTGTCTGCGCAATGTTCTGTGAGCTCTGCTGAGGCTCCTGGTGGTGCCGATTCCCTGATCCTGCAGCATCACTCAGTTCTGGAGGGGTTTTACTCAATCTCCTCCTAACTCTCTATTTTAAGGGGGCAATTCTGAATTTTCCAGCATCAAACACTCTCCAAAGCAGTTTCTGTTCCCAAGGCAGGAGGAAGTGCACCCTTGGGGACAGGTCCTGGTTTTTTTGACTGTGCTCACAGTGTGTTCTGGAGACCTTTGTGGTTCAGAAACTCCAAACCTCAGTGAGATGTTCCTGGTGCTTCCCTTTGAAAGAGGAGCAAGTGGTTTGGGAGCATCCAGAACTGGGTCAGAAGGACTCATTTAAGCATGTCTGTGTCAAGTGACCAAAAATGACAGAGTAAGGGTCACCAGGTCAGCTTTCCTGATGGGTCAGGGGACATCCAGACACCTGCACTAATGAATGAGCTGCATAACATGGGATGTCCTCAGCAGTGCTCTGGGCCACCCAAATTACAGAAATTACAGAGGTGGGATGGCTTTGTGGCTTTTCATTAGAGGTTTGCCATTCTTAATGAAGAATATTTCAGGCACCCTAAAATTACTGCTGTGTCTCTCATTTATTGGGCAATGAATTCTTTCTGCTCCAAACTAGCAAAAAACTGAGGTGCAGCTCTGAGCTGTCCCTACCAGTGGAAAATGCAGTGCAGGAAAGTGTCACTGCTGTTATTGCTGTTATCACATTTAGCTGCTGGTTGGATTTGAAGAAAGGAATTTATTTATTTATTACCCACCCAGAACTTCCCCTTGGAACACCACTCAGGGGTGCAGGCAGGTGAGTGCTGCCTGTGGCTGTGGGCCAGAAGCAGGAGAGCTTTTGCTGGCTGCTTGCCTTACAGAAAACAAGATTCTGCCCTCTGACATTCCAGCTGAGCACAGAGCAGTGTTTGCTTCCTGTAATGTCACTGAGAGATGGGGTTGAGCAGGAAAATGGTGCTCTGAGTGACTTCTCCATAGACTGCTCCTTGCCAGCCTAGATTATGCTTTAAGATTTTATTTTTACCATTGTTTTGTCAAGCCTGCAGGAAATTCACCATTTCCATTATTTCCACAAGCTTCACTTGGCAGTTACTGTGTGAAGTCTGTGAATCCATAGGATCAGATCAAAGCTGTTCCTTTTGACCATCTGAACTACAAACACGCCAACTGTGAGGCATTATTTTTAAATTTCCTGTAAAAATTTAAAAGCATTTCTAAATATTTTTAATAATTCCCTAAAACAGTCTAAGGACATCTGTTAAAGTACTGAATTTCCCAGAAGACAGCAGTAGTTGGGATTGCTTCAGCTGCAAATTAAGGTTGTCAGTCAAAGGGCTTTTTCTGTTTCAGTCTTTGATCTGGGAGTTTTTAGCATCTCTTCCAAAGTGAGCCAAAGAAAGACAGCTAGTGAGCTGTTCTGGCTTGTTTTGCCATGTGTTTAACCTAGCAAACAGTCAGTTGATACCTTTTGTGAAGTTTTCTATATTTTACTGGATACCTCTGCTTGGTGAGGAACCAAGCTATGCAGTTTTGACATATTTTTGCACTTTTCATATTCCTTCTTCTGCAGCATGTGTCCAATGTTTTAATATATTGAGTAGCTGTGGCAAATGCTGTTGTGTGCCTGCAAACGTTTGAATTATTTTAAGGCACTGGCTCTGCTAATGAGCTGGAGTAAGAGCAGAATGATGTATTTACTCCCCAGGATTTCCTGCAGAGATGAATTGTAGGTTCATGGTGAGCTGAAAGGATATGACCAGCCCAAAGATTCTTTAAAAGATGTTCTTGTTTATTGCATGCTGATATTCCAACTCCAGCTCCATCAAGGGCTATGACAGTTTATGAAAATATTGCTTCTCTCCATAACTGTTTTATTGTGGTGCTGATGCCATACTGATCTAGATTTCCACCTGCTCATATGCATCAGAATACTTCATTTTGTGTCATGGTAACATGAAAGTGTAAGAGAAGGGGAAGGCTTTGTCTTTTCAGTTGTAAATCCTAACTGGATTTTAAAGCTTTCATTATTTTGTTCTGTGTGATTGAAAGAAGCTGGCATCATCACCAAGCTTGCAACAGAGGAAATTTTTTTTTTAATGTTCAGTGTTTAAAAGATGTCAATGTTATTTCCTTTGTAAACAGAAGATGATGGATAGAAAATCTGCCGAATTTTCAGCAAAAGGGAGTAATTTCTTCAGTTCTTTTTCATTCCTTAATGGAAAAAGAATTATGGAAATGAGAGCAGGCATTGCATTAAGTGCTTCCAATGTTCTTTCCCTGCAGACCAATAAAAACATAACTCCTCCATTAGGGAAATTTAGTTTTTTGAAGGCTGTGTGAATTTGAGTTCTGAATGAGTGAATGAGATGACTGTGCTGGAGTAAACATTTCCAGGTCTGATTATGTATTTTAAGCCTTTTCTAGATGGATACCAGCTCTTTCCTTGTCTTGTAGGTCTTCTTCAGAGCAACTCTTTCTGTGGCTTTTTACATTGGCTTATCTTGTAGTTCCTCTGTAGTGCAATCTCACATTACAAAGAGCAGTAACAGTTTTCAAAGTCATGGGAATTGAACTATTTTTCTTGCCTGACTGTGAACTAGAGTTCGTGGCTTTTTCAAAACACTCCAGCTGCTTCAAAACTCCATAAGCAAAATTCAAACAGTAAAAGTAAAAAAAAAAAAAAATATATACTTTTCTGTGCTTCCTATGGTGTGTACATACTTCTGTATGTAGTTATAGTCTCACCCATAACTGTACATTATGCAGATTGTAGCTGTCTACCTTTAAAAATACTCTTTATGTGTAAGTGGGAAATGGATATGCAGCAGTGAACTGCTGTTCCTGGGTGTGCTCAAATCAGGTCCCTGAGCAGGGGGGATCCAAGTGAAGCCATCTTTTCTTTCTCAGCTGTTAACCATTAAATAGTAATAAATAATCAGCGTTCATTTCTAGAAGTTCTAGAAGATAACAAAAATTAGAGAAGAGGAGAATCATTGCAAGTCATTAGAACTGATCCTTACTTATAAATTATCAATCATAATTCAGTTTTGTATACAATAATACTTAAGGTGTCAGACACATTGAAGAAGTATAAAAGGATGATTTGTCCTCATTTAGTGTAGGAGGGGACAGAGGCACCAAGAGCTTCTGAAACTTGTCCAAAATCTGGAAATGATTAAGTGAAATTCATTTTTTCATTATTATTTTTATTCAGTTGTAAATAGCCTGGATGTAGCCAAAATGTTCTAGTTATAATTGATCAAACAAACCCCATTCTACTCTTTATTGTTGAAGGGTTGCCCATGGGAACATGCTGCAAAAGCAGTGAAGGCAGCAAATGTAATTACGGTGAATATTTGGTCATGTGAGGCTGGTTTTATTTTAGTTTTTTGAGGTTTATTTTCTGAACACACTGCTGGGAATTGTTTGTTCATCACTAGAGTGTTCCCTGAAGGCCCAGTCCACTACAGGACTCCCAGGAATAATTTCTGTGTTCCTATTATATTTTATATGCAGACAACTTAATCCTTCTGCCACGATCCAGAAAAAAATGGCATCTATGAAAATATTGTGTTCATTACAAATCCAGGAGGCAAGGAAAACATGCCTGACCCACAGGATTCTCTGTCCCCACCCTGATTATTCATTCCTAATGGAAAAAGTTTGAAATGCTGGAAAAAACACATTGGGCATAAAAATTTTCAACTTCTTGCTGATTTTAAGTTGAAAATTTTTCAACTTCTTGCTATTTTATCTCCTCTGTGTCTCAGTCAATTGATGAATCTGATCAGCTGCGTGCTTTAGGTGTTACGAAGGGATGCTGGTAGTGAATCTCCACCTCTCTCATGGGATTTGTGGCTGATTTGATTTGGGGTCAGCCCGTGCTGGTGCTGTGGGTGGCTGGTAGCCCCTGAGGAGCCAGCTGTGCCCAGCTGTGCCCAGCTGTGCAGGCTGGGGCTGCCTGTGGAGAACACGAGTTCCCGGGTGCCTGGGCTGTGTTTGCACACAGGAGCAGCCAGATGGTTGGAGCTGTGGGTTTGCTTTGGCTTCACTCTCAGCAGAAGTACCTGAGATGGATGTTGCCAGGTCGCTGCGTGGCTCCTGTGTGCTGCCAGCTGCTCTGGCTCTTCTCTCTGAGGTGTGTTTAAAGCATTACAATGAGAAATTGGTGGAACTCTCTGTGGTCGAGTGGGAGTGGGGAAGAGTTTGTGGCTTGTGTTCTGCAGACCTGGTGGGATGGGTCTGGTCACAGGCTGGAATCCCAGCCCACAGTGTGGTGGGGGAATGTCCCAGGTGCTTCACAAGTGCTTTGAGGTCTAAGGCACTCTCCACATGTAAATCACATTTTCTCCTCCCCAGCCCTTGGGCACGGCTCGCTCACGTGGTGGGCACACATTGTCACCCACTGGAGTCATCAGAAGCTGTAATTTTGCAGATTTACCTCTGAAATACACTGCTGCAGTCCACCACCCTCCTGAAACACCTTTGGGAAGCTTAGCTCAGGTCCCATATCACCTTTTAAAATTACAGGGTGGTTGGTAGAGTCAATCATCCCTAAAGCAAGGCACTGCCTGGGCCAGACAGAGCTGTGGTGACCACTCTGGGCTTATCCTGGAGGAGTTCCTGCAGGGTGGATGCACCCCAGGCTCAGTGCTGGGCACAGCTCCAGCTGCCTCACCAGGCTGCCACCCCCATCTCACACCCTTGGTCTCGTGGTCTTGTTCCAGGGCAACCCCCTGTACTTCCAGTCCGCCAGGAACGTGACCGTGAACATCCTCAACGAGAACACGAAGGTCCTCACTCGCCTTGTAACAGGTAAGGAGGGGGAAAGGCTGCTTGGAGAGGTGAAAATGGTGTTTGGGGATGCTCTGCTGGCTTCAGCACACAGAGGGGAGCCTCGGTGTCTTGTGGAGTAGAAATGAAAACTTCGCTGCACTCTGTAGAAACAAAGGCAGGGACAGGAAAGCTGTGCTGGGGAGGCACCTGGCTGGGGCTATCTGACAACAAAACAAACCATCATTTTCATCTGAAAGCCAGCCCAGAGTTAGAAATGTTTGCTGTATGACATCAGGGTCAAGAAGAACATACGCCAGGCTGACATTTCTGTTCTAACAAGAACAGGTTTTTCTGAAGACATTTATAACTTGCCTGAAATCTTGGGAACTCTGGAGCCCAACTGTGGCAACAGTTTGCAATTTAAAGTCCTCCTGCTGATAAAGAACTCCCTTTGCACCCAAACAAGAGTATGTTGGGTGGGGAAATGGGTGTTTTTTAAATCCCCAGTGCGCAGCAGCCTTAGAATGAATGAATAAATAAATAATTTGGGTTGAAATAGTCTAATGCATTATGTAAAGAATATGGCACTGTATATGTGATATAAAATGTATATTTGATATGGGACAGAGATATATTTACTGAGATTTATGGATAGACTGTGAGAAGTATTGGTGTGTGGCAAGGGCAGTAATCCATAAACATGTTTCTAAGTTGAGACTGGGTTGCTTGGTTTGCTTATATAACATCTTGGCCTTTAGTCACAGTACTAAATAATTAAATATGCAGCTTCAGTGAGCAATTATTTAGGCAGCATGTGTGAAACTTGCCTGGAGGAAGGAAATAAATTCGACCCCAGGCTCCCTGATTCTCACATTCAGAATGAAGATCTTCAGTTTGTTGGTTCTTCATGTTGTTTCAAGAGGGTGTTTGGTTCCCTTAAGCACCACTGTGTCACGAGAGTTTGGGACTCAGTGATACCTCCCAGTGTGGTGCTCTGGCTATTGAGCTTTTTATGCATTCAGCACCAGCTTTGGTTTCACAGTGGAGCAAAGATGTGGTCCCATGTTGTGCCTACTGCAAGGATGAGTGGGAAGGTGGTTAATTAGCAAGACACAAATCAGATTTTTACTGCATTTTCTCAGTGTGGCTGCACGAGTTTTTAAGTATTTCCAGGGATCTCAGCATAGCCTTGCTTGTGTGAAGTGCAAACCACATGCATGATTCTGTGTGTCCAGGTGCCAGCACAGGTTATCTGTAGGTAGGGTAGGGATGGAGTTTTTAAGAAAATACTGGCTTTCAAGTGTTAATTTTCTTGTCTTTTGACAAATGAGACTGGTCCTGAAGACGGCCATAATGAATGCAAAGTCCAATCACCTGCAGTGTGCAGGATGATATTCCAGGAGGGCTGTGGCTTGGTTGGAGTTGGGAGTGGTGAGTTGTCCAAAGTCTGACTGGGTCAGTAACCCAGGGCAGCCTCTTTGTAACTCTTGGCAGCCTTTGAGCCACAAACCTGCGCAGAATGGCTCTCAGGCAGCTGATGTTTATCAGCCCCCACAAGAAAACGAATTGCCAGAGGCTTTCCAGCACTGTAGGGCACAGCAGCCTGCAGGAAAAGCAGCAGAATTGAAATAAGATCTTCAAAGGAAAGTTTTGCTTGTCTACAAACTTTCTGCACTTTGAGAGGATGCCATTTTTTCCTGGCCTGCACATGATTGAAGGAGTCTAAAATAAAACATTTGCTCCTGTCCTGGTGTTTGTCTTTTTTTTTTTTTTTTTTTTTTTTTAATTGGGCTGTGCATGCCACTGATAGAATTTTAATCCATATGTGTTTAAAAGCTAGAAAACCAGGAATCTTTTACACAGCAGCATCAGTCCAAGCAAAATGGGCCCAGGAGCTCTTGATGCCTCTTACACCTGCAGCAATACTCTCAAAGCATGGCTGGATTTGTTCATTGCTGTTTCACAGATGAGTCTGTCTTTTTGTAAAAATATCCCAGCTATCCCGAGTTCAATGGTGATTTTATGGCACACATAAGCATTAGAAAAGCATAAGTAGAAATAGTTGAGCAGTTGTTACTTGGGTAGAAAACTGCCCTTTCCTAATAAGATCTAAAAAGCCTCTCTGTTTGGTGTCTCTGATGCAATTTGTTGAGCTAGTATTACTCAGCAAATGGGTTTATTGAATGTATGAAGATACTGTGATTTTCTTACACTTTTCCCTAAAGTAAAGCTTCTTCCCCCTAGGTCCCCAAGCAGTGGAAGCACACAGCCAAAAATTTGAGGTGAAAACCCTCTCTGGAAAATTGCTGTTTTCTGCAGATGACAACGAAGTGGTGGTTGGAGCAGAGAGATTGAGAGTTCTAGGTAAGAGATTGTTCATTAAGCCACAATTTTAATATGCACCTCTTCAAATCTGAGTAAAGTTTTGCCTGACTTTCCTTCCTACTTGCTGAAAACTTCTTTTGCAGATAAAACCTTGTGCTGTCTTTATGGCTTTGAATCTTCTCCAAGCAGATGAAGGCCAGGAGTTTCTGTGTGAGGGCTTTCTTAACCTGCACCATTTGTTCTTTCCCCTCCATTAAAAACTCCCCTGGAAGTGGTTTGTCTGGCTGAGTGAAATAGCTTTAAAACCAGTTTTGGAACCTGCACAACTTTTATATCTTGGATCTGGGGTGGAGGACAGTGAGGGGCTGCCCCAGGGATGTGCCCATGTCTGCAGTCACTGTGCAAAGGGAACCTCAGGGTTCAAGGTTTGGTGCCAGCAATGTCACCAGCTCCTCCTTCATTCTGAAACAAACCAGGAGGATCTGCCTCCCCAGCTGGGCTGCCTGCCAGGATTTATTCCTAATAAAGTAGGAATAAATGGTATTTCCTAATGAAAACTGGGAAACACTCTGGGTTTGGTATGTAGGGGTTCTTTCTTGTTTATTTGGATTTTTTTTTTGTCATTAATTGGAGAAACAAAACAGTTGTGGCAATTGGAAATATTGAAACTTATTTGATAGCTATATAAAATTAACTGTCTGGAAGTTGAATTTTTTGTGCTCCCCAGTTCAAGCCATGCTCTTTGGTTAGTCTGGGATTTGGTCAGGGATGTTTTCACACAGGACCAGAGTGGGTAGCTCAGTGTTGTTCAGTCACACAGCAGTGCTGCTGGTCTCTGTGGAGGCACCAATATCTGTTAAATAGTGACTTGTTTTAGATGCATCTTTTCATTACAAACTGTTCCTTACTTCTCTTGTAAAAACAGCTCAATAAGGAGCTTGGAATTATATATAGATGTAGATAGTATTTTTATTATTATTTTTATTATAATTGCTAGCTATTTAATAGATTATTATGTATCATATAAATGGGACTTGGTATCCAAGCCTTAACATTTTTTGCTGCCTGATGTCCTGCTGTTCTGGATGGCTCCTGTTTGTGGGCAGGGTGGGTGGAGCTGGCTGCACATCACTGTTGTTACACACTGGACTGGTTCAGTCACCAGCTATAAAAGGTTAGGTGGGCTTCACAGAATAAATGTTGAACTTCACAAAATTCAGAGTATCTTTGTTGGCTTAGAACTTTGAAGAGACCCATTCAAAATTCTTGTGGTGTTCCAGAGCTGGGGACATTTGTAACAATCCATGTTCTCCAACAAAGCTCCCTTCACACTGCACCTTTCAGAGCTAGTTCTTGCAGGGTAGATGAAGTCAGGAAGCAACAGTTTTTAAGTGTTTTCTTGGAGGCCTTAAAAGAGATTTACATTGTTGATTTTAAAAAAATTACAGAACCTTCTTACAAGCTGCAATTACTCCTTTTTCAGATTACATACTTTAAAAAAATTGCTTTTAAATTCCTCTGTACTTTGAAGAAACCAGGAATTAATTTTGATAGCTATTTTGAGGTACTGCTTTGTTTTAGTCTCCAGACTAAACAACATCAAAAATCTGCTGATCACTGTAGTGCACTTTGATTTTTACCTGTAACTGAGTGTTTCTCAAGGCTGGTTTGACTTTTGCAGATCTATCAGAAAAGAAAAAAATAAAATCATACTACTGGCGATGTTACATAGCAAGTATTCCAATGACCTTGAGCTGAAATGCTTTCTGAGTTCATTCTTGGCTTTGTTTTTCTCCAGCTTTGCTTCCCCAATCTAATTTTATCTCTGAAAGTGTTTGCCGTGGCTGTTTGCCATGCTGGGGAGTGTTACACCATATGTTGGTGTTTCTTGCAGTGTTTTTGTCTGCTCTGAAGGCCAGTCCGAGTTGCAGCACACAGACCAATCCCTTTGATCATTCCTCTGGTGTTTGGGCTCTCAGGTGCTGCTGGAATGTGTCTGCTGACACCCATCTAGGCCGTGTAAATAATTTCAACTTGTTATTACTGAACAAATACTTCTTGTAGAGGCAAGTGTGTGTCAGCAACCTGGCATGAAAGTCATCCCACAGAGGTCAGAGCAGCAGTTCTTGGGTCCAGCTTTGAATATTGCCAGAGACAATAACTCTTTTCTTTGTACAGACTCCAAAGTTTTTTTCTGGAAGTTTGTGCTACAAACCGATGCTGAATCCTTGTCCTGAGAAAGGAGGTGCTCTGCTGTTTTGAAATGAACCCTGCTCTGGGTATCTAGAGGGTTTTTCAACATTAGCAGGGGATGAAAAAGGGGAAGAATACACAGAATTATAGATTAAAAACAAATGCAAGTAGGACATAGGATGCATTTGATGGTGCTTCAAAAAACCGCGCAGCACGGGCAGTGCAGATTTCCATATGAAAGTGCTTTTTATTTGATTTGTATTTTGGGGAGTTATTTCTGATTTATGAGCATTAACAGACACAGAGAGACAGAGCTGGCCACCTCTGCTTTTCATGTATGACGTAATTTCAGTGATTTTATTTGATAAAGTGAATCCAGTCAAAGCTGTCATCATAGGAGGATGGCAGGAGCTTCTGTCTGAGGGGAAGGGCAGATCTGAGCCCTGCTAACACTGACACAACCTTGGGCAGACCCAAAAATCCCCTCTGCCCTGCTCGAGTTGGGAGCTCAGCAGTGCCTGGGTCCAGATAACCCTGAGGGAGCTTGTGTTTGCCTGCAAGAACCCTATAAAAACTGAGCCCTACAACGACTCCACTCTGCCCTTTCACTTCTGAGCTCTTCTGCCAGTGCTCGTGTGCGGATGGGATGGGATGGGATGGGATGGCATGGCATGGGATGGGATGGGATGGGATGGGATGGGATGGGATGGAAGCCCATTCTCACTCTTAGCATCCCTTTCCTCCCCAAATGGAATGACAACACCCCATAGTGTTGTGAAAGATCCCATAGCAACCCTCAGAGCTGCTCTCCTTCCCCAGAACCTCAGCTCTGCCTTTGCAGGATTTGGATTTCTGGAGGCAAAATCTGTCCCTTCCCTGGCAGCCCTGGGGGTGTGTGGGGTGATGTGAGCCCTTCCCTGGCAGCCCCTGCCGTGGCCAGCAGAGCTTTGGGCAAACCCCAGGGACACAGAGCTCACTCACACCTGGCTGGAGCCCCCCAGTGCTCCTAACTCAGACCCTTCCATGGCAGATAAATGAGCTGCTCCTAATTGAATTTGTATTTGCTGCCTCATCCTGACTCCCTCCTTCCCTCCCTCCAGAAACGAAACGTGTCCAGCCCATCTGAAAAACAGGGTGTAAGAAATGCTCTTTAGTTAAAAGAGTATTAAAAATAACTTTGATATATATTAATTACAATTTCATTTAATAGCTTATTGAACGTTATAGCATTTATAAATAAAAGACAATCATAAAGCATTATTCTGACTGTTAATTAGCTCTATTTATTCTCCAGATTAGTTTTTAAATATGCCCTCTAGATGCCACTTGATACTAATTAACAGAGTTACATTATTATCTCTATAGAAAGGCATTTTTAATTAAATCTAAAGCAATTTAAATTAGCATGAGTTTTTACAGAAATTAAACTCTGGTCAGATGCTTAATTTAGCCTTATAAGACAACATCTGATGACATGCCAGTGTCAGTTCTCCCAGGGGCCTTGACATCATTTTTATTTGAGATTATTTTTTGAAGTTTATTTTCAGGGAAACTTGCCACTATGCTCTGGTGTTTAATATTTATGATGGATTTAACCAGGTTTTTTTGAAGACTAAATGTTGATGGGAATCCACGTGCATTGCAGTGAGCTGAGATAATGCCACAAAAGCCACACTTGTGCAGCTTACAGGAGTCTGGCAGTGCCTGGGTTTGCGTGGGAGGTGGGATTGCATGGGCTGGATGTTGTCCTCTTACAAATCTACCAAGCTTTTTAACCACTGTTAAAATTACTGTTTTGCTTTCCAGCAAGGATAGGATTAATCACAACCCCACAGGGTCCCTTCTCTACAACAGAACAATACAGGGATTGCTCCCACCCCCCAGAAAATGTCTCTAACCCATTTGGATTAGCATGGCAGAAGCTTTTCTTCTGATGGAGCCTAATGATAAAGACCTGGCTAAAGCCTTCTCCTGTGGCAAACCCTGACTAAAATAGCTGTATTTAGAGTGGGGTAGGATACCTTTCATCTCCCAGAATACAGACTGCAGGAGCAGTGTGAGCCAGCCCAGCACCATGGCTGGTTTAAAAGCACCTTTGATCTCACCAATCTTTCCTTGCTCTCCTGTCAAATAATTAGCCACTAATTATTATTGTGGCTTCTTTTCCACTGTAGCCAACACCCTTTGGGCACTGAACCATGTGGAGCATGTCAGTACTGACCACAGGTTAGAATTTAGGACTGTCAGTTTGGGAACATTTTTTTTTGTCCAATTTTCTCTCCAGCTGCCTGGGAATGCACCTGGAAAGAGGAATCAGCTGTTGAAAGGTTATTGCAAGTTTATTAATAAGTTTGGAGCAATTAAATCCAAGGCACATTTCCAGCATTTTATTTATGAGCTGTTTATTAAGGAATTTAGAGGACTTAGAGGAAGAACACCAACAATAAAAGCTGTGTGGTCCAGGAGTGTGTGGCTATTTACAAGAGCAAGCAGTGATGGAGGAAGAGAAATGGCTTTAAACTGAAAGAAGTTAGATTTAGATTAGATATCATTAAAAATAGGACACTGTGAGGGTGGTGAGGCACAGGAATGGGTTGCCCAGAGAAGCTGTGGGTGCCCCATTCAGCTTGGATGGAGCTCAGAGCAACCTGGTCTAGTGGAAGATGTCCCTGCCTGTGGCAAGGGAGTGAAAGAAAATGACCTTTAATGTCCATTCCAGGGCAAATCATTCTGTCATTCTGTGACTGGAGAGAGCTCTTTTAAATGACAATATTATGGTTGCTGTTGGGGACCTACTCTGCAGTTGTGGAACACAAGGTGCTATGGCCTGTTCCTCATGGAAGGGT